AATGGAGTTTTTGGTAAGGAGAGTGGTTGTTTAAAAGAGGAGTGGGGAGACGGTTTATAATATGAATGGCCTGTTGTATGGAAAGGTGCCAAAGGTTGTGAGGGAGGTGAGAGTGGAAAGAGAGGGCACGAGCAACATTCAAAATATGCTGATGTTTTCTTTCCACGATACCGTTCTGTTGAGGCGTTTCCACACAAGACCTTTGATGAATGATTCCTTTCGAAAGGTAGAAAGTGGTCATGAGAAACTCAGGGCCATTATCACTACGAATGTACTTGAGTTTCTTGTTAAATTGGGTTTCGATAAAGGATATGAAGTGAATTAAATGGTTTCTGGTTTCACTTTTGTTGGCCATAAAAATTGTCCAAGTAAACCTGCTGTAATCGTCTACGAGGGTTAAAAAATACTTGTGGCCACATATGGAAGGTGTGGAAAGAGGGCTCAAAATATCAACATGAAGTAAATCGAAGATGGAAACAGACTTAGTATTACTGTGAGTAAAAGGCAAATGTTTTTGCTTAGCCAAATGGCAAGTATTACAGGGCTTATGATTGTCATTGTAGGTGACAAAAGGAAATTGAGAGGAAATACATTTGTGTATGTAGGGACTTAAGTGTCCAAGCCTAAGATGCCAAATAGTAGCAGGATCGTGTTTAGCAGGTTCGAATTGGGGAGAAGAGAAGGTGTTGACAGAGCCAGGTGTGGGAGAGATGGCCTTAGGTGGGGTGGCATTAAGAACATACAATTTGCCAATCCTCCTAGCTGTAAATCCAGTCATCTTGGATTGGGGCAACTGCATAATTTGACAGCAATTAGGAGAAAATTTCACATCATATAAAGTGGAGTCAAAAAGAGTGGTGACAGAGATAATATTGACATGAAATGAAGGAAAGTAATAAACATTGTGAAGGACAAGTGAACCACATAGTAAAACTGAACCAGCAATGTTTGTAGTGACAGAGTCACCATTAGGCATTGTCATGGATTTAGGTGCAATGTGGTATGTGGAAAGGAAACTGGCAAAGGTATGGGTGATGTGATCAGTGGCACCTGTGTCAATGATCCACCAGTTATGACAAGGAAGATTTGAGGAATTCTTACCAGAGGAATTATGAGGAGAGGTATGGGACACAGAATTAGCAGTATAAACTGAATTAATCGAGGGAAGTGAAGGAGATTGCAAATTATATTGTTGGAGAAGCTGCAGAATCTGAGTGTATTACTCTTGAATCATAGACAAATCATTTGGACTGGTGTTTGATGTGGAAGCAGCATCTTGAATCGATTTCACTGTAGAATTAACAGAATTCCCCACAGATGTAGTAGGCTTGTGTTGTTGAAATCCAGGGGGATAACCATGTTTCAAGAAGCAAGTCTCAATGGTGTGATTGATGCGGTTGCAATGAGTGCAGAGTCGGTTTTCACGGCCACCACGGCCACGACCACGACCACGAGAAGGTGCTTGAGAAAGTTGATTCACAGACGATTGAGACTCAATTGAAGAAGCAGAAGGTGAAAGAAGGTTGAATTGATGTTCTTGTTGAAGAACCAGATTAAACACATTATCAAGAGTTGGCAGTGGTTTCATCAACATAATCTGTGAGCGAACATGAGCGTATTGGTCATCAAGGCCCTTCAAGAACTTGATAACTTTATCTTGTTCTTTGAATTTGCGTAAGTCTGAAGCAGCACCACAGGAGCACGGAATAGCGCAAGTACAATCACGAATTGGCCGGAAGTTCTCGATTTCTTCCCAAAGCGTCATCAGTTTCGTGAAGAACGAAGAGATATCGAGAGTTCCTTGTTGAAGACGAGCAACATTTTCTTGAATGTCAGCAATGCGAAAAATATCTCCCTGAGAAAAACAATTTTCCAAACTTTTCCATACAAGAGAAGCACGATCATACCAGAGAAGAGATTTTGCAATTTCTTCAGAAATCGAGCGTTGAAGCCATGAGAGGACGAGATTGTTGCATCGCAACCAAGGTTCGTATAGAGAGTCGGAGATAGGTGGAGGAGAAAGAGTGCCATCAACGAACTTGATCTTGTTCTTGGAGATAAGAGCCACTTTCATTGATCTGGACCAGATCTGATAGTTCTTGGTATCAAGAACAGGTTGAACAAGAACAAGAGATGGATTTTCATTAGGGTGCATGTAGTAAGGATTGGAAGGATTGGTAGCAAAATCAGAGTAAGGAAGCGCCATAACAAGTTGATGCAGCAAAGGAAGAAGAAGGCGCGAAGAAGAAGAAGAAGGCGCGAAGAAGAAAGGCGCGGAAAAGAGAATTCAAACTGATACCATATTAATTTTGGAATAAACTCATAGTATTCATTATGTTTTGGAATGTACAAAACAGTATTATATATACTGTTAAAGTAACAAACTGTTTAGTAACAAACTAAACAGAATTGTAACAAACTGTAACAAACTAAACTAATTGTTTAGTAACAAAGTAAACAGAATTATTTTCATCATGTAATACCAACAACAACAACAATGTTGTTGAGTTTGAACACAATAATGCTTATAGTTTAAATGTCACCCACAAACTAGAGATAAACAAGTTATTTTTAGATCTCTAAAGAGATTTGTTCCGATTAAATGTTAAGATAAATGGTAACATGTGACAATAAACTTTTTAAGTCAGCTATAAAACCGAATAGCTCATTGATTCTAAGATTAAGATCATAGTTAAGATTAGATGTTAAATCGTAAGATCGTAAAATCTTACGTGTCAAGAGTGTCTGAGAATTTTACAATTAGAAAAAAAATCATTTTGTCACTGATGTGGTCAAGATCGAATTATTTGAAGCAAGATTGTAAACAAAACAAAAAAGTGATGGACCTTTTTGCCTAAACTATAAAAGAATATTTTAACTCACTTCATAATTTTCTAGTGTACAGCGTGAATTTTCAAATATAACTCTAAATTCTAAAAGTACATTTTTGGAAAACACCACACACATATTTAATTTATTTCTTTTTGAAATTAGTTCTATTTTATAACTATTTTTATTCCAAAAATACACTTCTATAATATTCTCGAAATACATTTTCGATAAGATGTTAAAATTGATAAAACAAACCAAAACCCCCCTCTCCGATAGACACAACCAACCAGAAACAGTGTTTGAATATAACAATTGAGAAAAAGAACAAGAATTTGTTGAAACATAGTAGCTTCGTGGTCGCGAAGCTTCCTCTATAAATGATCCCTGTTGTTGTCTATGATTCTCTTCCTCTATAAATGATCCCTGTTGTTGTCTATGATTCTCTATACAACTAAATCTCAATGAATATATCGGAAGAAAAAAATGTTACTGAGTTGAGATTGAAAAGGAACAAAAGTACTAATAAATAAATAGTACTGAAAATTTGTGTGTCTGTCTGAATGTTACTGGTTTTATTTTTGTTAGTTTTCCGAAAAGGGGGGTTTTCTTTAATTTGTACAATCAATGTTTCTGGCTGGTTGTATCTATCGGAAAAAGAATTTTGATTTTTTTTCTTCAATTTTTAAGATCTTCTCTGACTGGTTATGTTTACTGTAAAAAAAGATTTTGATTTGTTTTTTTCAATTTTAAAGTCTTCTGATTGGTTGTGTTTATCTAAAAGAAGATTTTGATTTGTTTATTTTTTTCAATTTTAAGGTCGTCTGTATTCTGTTTACCGGAAAAAGAATTTTGATTTTTTTTTTCTTCAGTTTTTAAGATTTTCTGTTTGGTTGTGTCTATAGAAAAGAAAATTTTGATTTGTTTTTTTCAATTTTAAGGTCTTTTAGTTGGTTGTGTCTACCAGAAATAGGATTTTGGTTTGTTTTTTTTTCAATTTTAGAAAATTTTAAGGTCTTCTGGATGGTTGTGTATATCAGAAAGAGGATTTTGATTTGTTTTTTTTTTCAATTTTAAAGTCTTCTAGCTGGTTGTGTCTGACGGAAAGAGGATACTGGTTGTGTCTGACGGAAAGAGGATTTTAATTTATTTTTTTTCAATTTTAAAGTCTTCTGACCGATTGTGTCTACTAGAAAAGAGGATTTTGATTTATTTTTTTCAATTTTAAGGTCTTATGACTAAATGTGTTTACCGATAAGATGATTTTGAATTTTTTTTTCAATTTTAAGGTCTTAAGGTTGATTGTGTTTATCTGAAAGAGGATTTTGATTTTTTTTTTTTTTTTCAATTTTAAAGTCTTCTAGCTGGTTGTATCTATCTGAAAGAAGATTTTGATTTATTTTTTTCAATTTTAAAGTCTTCTGGCTGATTATGTTATTTTTTTCAATTTTAAAGTCTTCTGGCTGATTATGTCTAGCGGAAAGAGGATTTTGATTTGTTTTTTTTTTTAATTTTAAGGTCTTCTGACTAGTTGTGTATCAAAAAGAGAATTTTGGTTTGTTTTTTCAATTTTAAAGTCTTCTAGCTAATTCTCTCTATCAGAAAGAGAGTTTTGGTTTTTTTTTTCTTTCAATTTTAAGGTCTTACTGGAAATATATTTCCAAGAATATTCTGAGTATATTTTTGAAATAAAAATAGTCATAAAATAAAACAAATATAAAAAACGAATGAATTAAATATGTAAAATGCGTCCTAGAAATACATTTTTAGAAACCTAGAAACTGATGGGTATTTTTGGATTTTCAGAGTTTAATTCAACCCCATATAGATATATAGGTGGTTTAAGAAATTATCAACTATAATTAGCATGATTTTGTATACGTGTGTATAAATATATATATGAAATTACCATTTTCCCTTCGGTAAGATCTTACGTGCTAATAATCCGCGTTTTATAATTTTTCACAAGCCGACTAATCTTCCCGTGCTTGACTACATTCACTAAGACAACTATACCAAGGTAACCATTAGAACAAAAGAATGTGGAATGCAAGAACAAAAACTTATAATATACATTGATGTATCCCATTTCATTAGCATTTTTAAAACTATAGTAAACCTACAACCTCAACTAGTAATACTAAGTGCAAGTTCATCATCATCATCATCATCTATGATTGATCATTCTGAATTGGAACAGTTTGCATCTCTGATTTCTTTTTCTCCTTGAGAATTACCTGCCTTGGCATTACCTCTAATAGAAAGCCAGCCCCATTCCACACTGATGCAGAAACTTTCAGTAATTGGAAAATCATTGACAACTCGTACGACAAGAATATCGGAACGGTCAGCGCCATTGTTGCTACCGTAAACATTCCTTGTAGAAGAATGAACATTAACAAGCGGTTTTGATCGCCGAGCAAACTGCTTAGGCGCCACCACATGTTGTTTGCTTTCTGAGCTTTTTTAGAAAGTTCCCTATGAAAAAGCATGGTCAATTACAGTCAAATACAGCTAATGCGGTTGCAATCAAGATTGAATACCACTTTTTAAAACTCTAGTATATTTGGAAAAACCGAATGAGACAACGGTTTGTTACCTGTAGGAAGTCATGACTTCAGGATCTCTTAAGAATCGTTGTCGTCGTAAGACGTTGACAATGAGGAAGTAAAGAACCTGCCACAAGGTGTAAACTACTAAAGGAACGAAAAACAGCCATGTACAGAGATAGGATTTATCTTCGATATAAGGCCATGTAACTCTTGCGGAAGCTCCCTCTGGTCGCATGGCTTCTAGGGTCTCGGGATTCCACCATCGAATGGTAAAGAAAACCAATCCTGTATAAAAAAATCGTTTCATTAAAGTGTGATGAAAATAAAAAACGAATGCTTAAAGAATCATATCACAAGTCCATTCCAGATGTAGCATCTGTTAACATCAAGCTAAATCCAATTCTAGATACCATTCTAGAATCCTATGAAGTTTCCATAAAAAAAATCATGAAGATAGTAGAACTTGAACATATTAAGTAAAATGCTTTCATCTTTGCAATTGTTTGGCAGATATTGTCCAATATTTGACCATTGAATGCGTACAACTCTATAAAGATCATAATAGAAGCCAATGGTTTTCCAAAAAGAACGAATAATAAAAACGGTAGGTGTAACATACCAGGTAAAAGATGGATAAGAACACTAACGATTTTGTCAACAGAACTGAACACCAAACTGCAACGCCAAACAATCAAAGCCCAAGCTAACGGCCCCTACAACAGAAGCACTTAAGTAAGTCACAACATCGACGATTAACCATTTGTGTACTAAGATGTCAAATTACAAGAGATAAAATGCTCACCTCAGCAAATGAAAAGCAAACCAGAAAAAGCTTTTCATTCTTTGGATAAAAGAGAAGGTAAACCAAGAAAATTGTATTCGCATAATAGCAAAAGTCCTGAAACACATGAACAATAATTCAGCAACCTTATTCCTATTAACTATGTTTCTAAAGAAGCATTTGAAAAATAGTTAACTTTATCTTATGAATTATGATAATGATAATGACAACAGTGAGAGAGTACTCCGGTGATTGTAATCAGCAATGGAATTGAATTGAAACACGGTTTAAATAAACAAGCCCTCTTCCAGTGACTTTCTACCATGTGTCTCATACAACATTTAACCTAAAAAATAGACTTTTTGACAGTACAAGTAACATCATATATGGTTTAGGGATCCAGATGAACTTTTGTAACTGCATCACGAAGTTACACGCAGAAAATAATCTCAGCCATTTTGAAATCGGATGACTCAGATTAAACATTCACCAAATCAGCTTTAAAAAATCTCTATCATTGCCCACTCTCCTCCATGTTCCTTCTTTTCATTCATCTACTGCCAATTTCTCTCTCCTCACCCATACCCCACTAAGCCCACTCACCAAGTAGTTATTAATGGAATTATCCATGCTTCCCCCTCTTCTTTTTTCTCAAGTACACCCTCTCATAACTATCTATCAGTAGCATGTCTTTTTGTTCAGTTGTATAGTGAGTGATCCTGCCATAAATATTCTACCCACAAATTACACCTCTTTAAAGATATACTTGAAAATACTCTACCACATATGCATTTATTTCTAATGTGAGAAAATCGAATAATATATAATCAATGCTTATGCATGCTGCAAAATTGTGCCAAAATGACAATGAAACTAATACCTATATAGCATCAACCCTTCACCAATCACCAGTGATTACATACAACATATGTGCTTCCAGAAGCAAGTAACAGTTTCAAAGATACACAAGTATAAAATTTCAAAATCAGGTTTTGAGATAAATCAGAATTTACCAGGAGATAGTAATGCCATTTCTTGAACCTATAGTATATCCAACGAAGAGGAACAAACACAACATAGAACAAACAATAAACTAAAGGTACATCTTGAGGCCCTGTAAAAGAGAATAACACAAAATTAAAACAAAAACAAAAAAAAAACACCAAACTGTAACTGTTCGAATGATAGATTAATCAAACTTACTTGCCCCTAAGAGGAAACAAAACCCACCAAACCCAAGAACATTCAACAAATGAGTAACCTGAAGAAACAACAAAAAAAACACAACAACATTGAAACTTGTTCCAGCATTGAAATACCCCAATTAAAAATAAATAAAAAAACCTAAAAAGACACCTTGTTGATGAAACTTTCATGTTCTTCAGCGCGTTTTGCGATCTTAACCGCTTGTTTGGACAACACCTCCTTCAATTTGAATCAAACCCAAAGCAAAACAAATCCACATCACGAAAATCAGAAACAGACACAGCACGTGGAAATCAAATGAAGAAAAAATAAAACATAATGTGAACGGAACGGACCTTTGACCTATCCCTCAAGCGTTTTCTAGCCGCTGCAGTGGGTTCGATGTCGGAAACCTCTGCATGATCTTCGTTTTCAGACGTACTCATTTGAACAAAGCTTGGATTGATAGAGGAGAAACAAGTATGGTGCTGTTAGGGAAATTGTGAGGAGGAACAGGATTGTTTGGTCTTTTGTAAGGTTCCAGAAAAAGTAGGAATGTGCAAGTGTTACGTGGAATAATAATCTTCTTGTATAAGATACCTAGAATTTGATTACGCGGAAAGTTAATAGTGCATTTTTTTTAGGAATAACCATGTTTTAGGATTTAAATATCTCAATAACTTTTGGTCAAAAAAAATCTCAATAACTATGTTTTCAAAAGAATTACGCAACATCATTGGTTATGGGAAGGTCGGTTTAGGATTCAAATCTTGACAATTTGTATTTACTATATAACAAAATAATATATTGTGAAAAGTTTAATTTTATCATTTATATATAAAGACTATTTTTTGTTTTTATTAAGGGTGTGTTTGTTTCAATTTTACAATACATATTTATGAGAATATGACTATGAGAATGTAATATTATTATGTTTGATTCAAGCTTTACAAAGTTATTTTAAGGAATTTTTTATTCAAAGGAATATTATTTACGCATAGTTTTTTTATTCTTATTCCAAGACATAAATGATGAGAATTCAAGATTCTCATGGGAATAAGCTTAACTACCTATAACTTCTCACTTCTACTCATTATATTTATTTTTATAATTTTTAAATTAAATTAATTTGTAAACATTAATCCAAACACATAAGTGGAAATATTATTCCTATAAAAATTAATTTTATCCAAACACATAAGTGGAAATATTATTCTTATAAACAATAATCCCGGGAATATAATTCCAAGGAATGTAATTTTATAACTTGAAACAAACACACCCTAAAGTTATTTCTGTTTTGATAGTATTGGTTAAATATAATCAATGTTTTCGATAAAGAATTAATTGGATTGGACAAAGGAGAATCGTTGTCTCACGCTATCATAATGCATTTTGTTTTAATTTATAATAATCTGTCCAGTTTTTCACGCTCTCATACGCATAAGTTCTGTTAATTTCCAAAGTTTGGTTATCCTTTCATCTTTTAAACAATCTACTTTCTTCTTTCCTCTAAAAATCAACATGCATTCACCTTTAGATTGCATAACCATCTTCTGTTTAAGTTGTAGGATTGCATAATCACGATTGATTTTTATTTTTTTGTGGCCCGATAAAACAACATGATGAACCTCTTTCTTATCAGAGCCGCTAGGGTTTCTTCTCTTACCAAACACAATGTTGTTGCTGCTTTCAAGTCCTCTCGGTATTTTTTTTTCTTGTTTGACAGAGATCTGAAGAGATATCTGGTGCAAAGCCTGCTGAAATTTTACTCTCCATTCATTACCACTTGCAGCCACAGTAGAAGCAGAAGACATATCTAGTGCAAAGCCTGCTAAAGTTTTGAACTTAGGTAGGCACCAAATTTGTTGTTGTTTCTGTTTGTCACAAGTTTTCTTGTGATTTTTGTAATACATTGTAGGTTTTTGACGAATAAAGATTGAGAAGGGTGAACATCAATAAATTTACTTGATTCATTTTTTCATTTATGTTTTTATGTGGTTCTGGTTCCCAGTGTCCAATATTGATTAATATCTTATGAGATCTAACACACTCTTCTGGTTCTGTTGGGTTTTTGCTTAACTTGTCTTGCAAAAATTATATGGGATACTTAATTGAATTGAGAAATCAACAATTTTATGTGGGATAATCTAGATTTATCATTGCCTAGATCAGGTTTAGAACGTGTTAGTTCTTAGCTTCAAGCAGCGATTCAGTGGTCGGAGTGGAGTGAAAGTGAGTTCAATTTCCAGTTATGGAGTGTGTTGAGCAGTTGGGTCGCATGTTTAAGGTTTCAAACTCAATCACTTTTATAATGCAATCTTGTGTGTTTTTTCCACTCAAATGCTAAAATAAATTATATGGCATGTTTTTTTCCAACCTGATGTCAAGGCAATTAAAAAGAGGATTGAAGATTTGATTTCTTGGTACTTTTGTTGGCATGACAGGTAGGCTAATTAACTGAATGAGCACCAACAATTTGATTGTGTGATGATAATAATAATAATTATTAATATGGTGTTTCAGGTGTAGTTTGTAACACCCTGATTTAATTAAAATTATTTTTAATTAAATAAATAGATGATATGATGTGTTTATATGTGTTTTGATGGAATTATTGAAAGATTATAAGTAGTGAAAATTGAAGAAGTTAAGGACATTAGGGGTGTGTGGCTAAAAGCGTAGAGACATAGGGGTGAAAGGAAAATATAGTGTTAATGGTATTATTATTATTATTATATTTATTCATTATTATAAGAGATAAATAGTATTTTATAATATTAATAATTAAATAGTTAAAATAAAATTAGTAATAAGAGGAGGGGCAAAGTTGGTATATTAGTATTAGGGGTCTAAAGAGAGAGAGAATCATTATTCTCAATCGATCATAGAAACCAGAGAAGCGTAGAAGTGAGAAGAGGAGAAGAGCACTAGGAAGCTAGGGCAAGAGATTTCACCATAGGAATCAAGAATCAACATAAATCTAAGGTAAGGGGGATTCTAATGTTATAATAGATTTCCTATTGATGGGGTATGGTAGTGTTTAGGTTCTATGATTGTATGATCTTGATTTCTCCCTATTTGGTTGTTTTGGGATTTTTCTCCATTGATGAATTCTTGATGTTTTGATATGTTTTTGATGAAATTGGATGATATAAATTGGTTAGAATTGATAGTCAATGTTGGTGAATAATTAGCATGCTTGAAAGACATTTTTTATGGAAAAATTGAGAATTTAGGTGTTGAAACATGAGAACTCGTATTTGGAAAAGTTACAGATTTTTGAGTTCTACAACAGTGGTAACCGGTTAGTGGTGGTAACTGGCTACCACGTAAAAAATTGAAGAAAAAAGACTATTGTGTTATGCGGTAACTGGTTATTGTAATGCAGTAACCGGTTACTGCTGGCAGATTTTTGAAAAACAGAGTTGTTGACTTGCGCAGTAACCGGTTACCGTAATGCAGTAACCAGTTACCGCTGAAGGATTTTGCGTAATTCACTATTGTTTTATTCAGTAACCGTTTACTGGTATGGCAGTATCCGATTACCATTGTGTTAGACAAAATTTTGAAAAAAATTGAAAACTCCATAGCTTTCGCCTCGGGTGTCCGTTTGACGCGCCTTTTGAACCGTTGAGAAGCTAAAAATCATTTTCTATTTTCTAAAAATAAATTATTACTCAGTAGCTAATTATTTCACCGACATTGATACCTATCTGTGTGTATTCCTGAGTAATATGCTATGAATTATGTTGTGAATGATTAAGATGACGTTGTACGCATGTTTTGATTGTGTGATATGATATGTGTGATGATGATGATGATGGTCTGTATTGGTGTGGCATTGATGAGTAAGAGTAATCAATGTAAAATTGTGTTATTGCATATCAGTGTCGCATGCATTCATTAAAGATGGCCTCTATTGGCGAAAGATGATATGTATTTCCGAAAGACGTCATGTATTGGTGTTGTTGCCCCAAGTTGGCATTATTAAGTTGAAGGTTTTGCCCTGTTGGTACCACATGCATTAAGTCGGTGTCAGTTTCATTGCATTACATGGTTGTTAATGATTGATTGTCTGGACATTGAATGAGTCTCAAATTTTGTTATGATGAATGGTGTGTTGTTCATGCATTTAATTATATTGATGTACGTTATAGTATGATGATCGATGAAAAGGTATGAGGTAAAGATGTATAATGATGTGTACTTGAATTACTATCTGCTTATTATTATGCTTCCTCTTATATTGTTATGATATCTCACCCTTTCTGTTTGAATGTTACCTCCACGTGGGTAACGTACAGATGATCCAAAGTAGCTTGAGGTCGAGATTAGTTGAAGAGTACCTCAGTTTGTGTAGATTGAGTCAGTGTCTGCTCAGATATGTAACACTTGGGGGTTTTACGAATGTTACGATTGTTTACCTTGAGTGGCCTGGATGTAATTTTAGGTATGAACTGGTTGGAATATAACTACGTTCATATTAACTGTTATAACAAGTCAGTGTGGTTTTCTACTCTTGACGAGGAGGAGCGTGTTGGATTCTTATTTGCTAGACAATTAAATGAGCTAATGAAGGATGAAGCTCAATTGTTTTCTTTGATGGCACCTTTATCCATTGAGAATCAGGCTGCAATTGATGAGTTGCAGGTTGTGTGTGACTTTCCCAAAGTTCTTCCTGATGATATTCTAGACATGCTGCCAAAAAGAGAAGTAGAATTTTCGATTGATCTTGTACCTGGTACCAGACCTATTTATATGGCACCATACAGGATGTCGGCGTCCGAATTATCAGAATTGAAGAAGCAATTAGAAGACTTGGTTAAAAAGAAGATTGTGAGACTAAGTGTATCGCCTTGGGTAGCTCCGGTATTACTTATGAAGAAGAAAGATTGTAGTATGAGACTGTGCATGGATTATTGACAATTGAATAAAGTGACAATCAAAAACAGGTATCCACTTCCGAGAATAGACGACTTGATGGATCAATTGGTGGGTGCAAGTGTATTTAGCAAGATTGACTTGAGGTCAAGGTATCACCAAATTCGAGTGAAGGATGAAGACATTCAGAAGTCGGCTTTCAGAACTTGGTACGGACATTATGAATATTCAGTGATGCCTTTCGGTGTTACTAATGCGCCGAGTGTATTTATGGAGTATATGAATTGTATCTTTCACACTTATCTGGATCGATTTGTTGCAGTATTCATTGACGACATATTAATTTATTCCAAATCAGAAGAGGAACATGTCGAGCAATTGCGAATTATACTACAAGTGTTGAAAGAGAAGAAGTTGTATGCGAAGTTGTCAAAATGTGAATTCTGGTTGACAGAAGTTAGTTTTCTTGGTCATGTTGTTTCAGGTGATGGTATTGCTGTAGATTCGTCCAAAGTAGATACAGTGTTGCAAAGGGAAGCTCCAAAGTCAGTTACGGAAATTA